AAGGAAGGAAGGAAGGAAGGAAGGAAGGAAGGAAGTAGGAAGGAAGAAAGAATAAAAGGAAGGGATGGAAAAAAGAAAAGTAAAGAAAGAAATAGAATCCCCACCTTAGTTTGTCCACCTTATTTTCTGCGTTACAGTTGCTTCCACGTTTGGCCATAACGTAGAATGTCCCACCAAGACAAATGAAATTAAACTAGAAAAACAAGTTTGGAGAGTTTAACACAGGTATACACATCAAACAAGAATTTTGGTTTTGATAATTTAATAACGAAAGAACGCTACTCACTGCGATGACTGCCAGAACGGGTGCAACGAATGCCCAGACAAACTCACGGTCCAGAGACAGCCAGCAACTGGAAATATAATCCCGAAATTATATGTTATTTATTGATTGCTGTGATAATAATAAGGTCGAAATGCTTGCTCCACCATTATACGTTTGTAATTTTTTGGGAAGGAAGACTAAGCTCCCAAAAAAATTGCTTAGAAGTAAGAGTTGTGGTGGGCGCCGGTCCTAATATTGATTAGCACATCCTAGTCTACCTTTACGCAAATTTTGGTGCTTTGGTACACTCTGCATAGATTTCGCAAGAATTTGGCGTGAAGGGGAGGGGAGGGGGGATGAGGGGAACAGTTAGACTTACAAGTTTCCTGTTCCATAGCCTTCGTGGTAGATAGCACTTGACACAGAAACAATTACAGCTGGGATTCCTGGGAGAAGACCATAAATAATTCAATCAATTTGACAAATAGGCAAAGAGGAAAATATAGAACTAGTATCGAAACGCTAGTTTTGAACCTTCCAAACACCAATCAATTGACCGATAGATCGATAGGTCGATCAACCGACCAATAAACCGCACCGATCGCCTAAACAAACAATAAATCGAACGACCAGTTGCAATCTACAAACCGACCGACTGACCGACTAACTCATCATCATCCATTATACCTGTGTGGCACGCAGGGCCGGCATCAAGGACTTCAACTAAACAATAGGCAATTAACTGATGGACCGACTGTTCGAACGTTCGACCGACCAATCAACCAACCTCCCCCCAATCGATAAATTGATCAATCGACCCAGTTTTGAATTATAATATATGTTATTGTAAGTAACGTACCCCAGCCACAAAGGAAGAAGATGAACTTGATCTTTTTACTGGACATGCTGCTGTGGAAGACCTTGACAAGCATCAGGTACAAGACAACACCTTCAAGTGCCATCCATGTGAATGCCACCAGGAAGAGATAGTGAAGTGCAATGGCTACGGCTTTACACAAGATCTGTCAGAACAAGAATAAGACAAGCTCATCATCAGCTTAGATTTAGCATCATCATCATGACTGTTATCATCATTATCATCATCATCAGCACCACCCACTCACGCCATAATTACAGCCACCACCACCATCCTCTTTCAGCTGCAAGTCATCATAGTATTTGTGGGTCCACTCGTCACATGATTTTGAAAATCATTATCTATTTCCTTCATCAAAACCAAAAGAGTTATTCATTTCTTTTGCTGGAAGCTTTTTAAGGCATGAATAAAGGTTCGTTACCTTGGCTTCCGTTCTGTTGATACCAAACAGGAACGTCCCGTGAGCAAGAGCCAATGACAGTGCAAGGTTCGCATGAATGAAGTGACGAGGGAGTTTGAGAAACCTTGAGGAAAAAGGGGGAAAAAAATAAAAATAAGCCTTCGATGCGTTTGCGTTGATGAAAGAAAGAAAGGAAGGAAGGAAGAAAGCAAGCGAGTAAGCAAGCAAACAGGCAAGTAAGCAAGCAAGAAGGAAGGAAGGAAGGAAGGAATTAAAAAGAGAGAGAGAGAGGGAAAGAGAAAGCAGGCAGAGACGTTTATTATTTAAAAAAAAGATAACATACCTTATGAATGCGAATGTAAAAAAGACGACTAATAAAGCGACTATTGAAGAACAGAGACCGATGTATGAAATAATGCTCAGGGCAAAGTGATGCTCTTTCTGTAAAATAAATAAATATCAAACGATGGGTAAAATAAGAATAGGAAAAGAGAAAGAACATGACATTTCATATTACTAACCTCGATTGCTTCAGCGTCGACATCTTTTACTTGCATAAGAACAGCAAAGCTGGTCAGGTGATAGCACAGACACTGAACGTGTGTGCCGTTAGATGATCCCACTTCACAGCCTTCTGTTGACCAGGATATATCATCACTACAACAACAACAGATAATTAAATAAGTAAGAAAAATATTCACAAGAGGATTTTACATGCTTAACGGAAAATGTGTCGCGTTATACAAAAATCATGTGACCTGACCCCTAGAAACTATAAATACTAATAACATTTAATAATATTTAGTATAATTACCTTTTGGAGACGTTGAGGAAGCCGCAAGTCGGTTCTCCAGGTATATCATCCTTAGGGAATCGATAGAAAAGCACGAGTTTAGTTGTTTTTTTTTTTGTTTTTTTTTCATTGAAAGTTTTTTAATTGTTACATCGTCTTCACTCTTTTCAACGCTATCAACGCTGCGTGAAGCTGTCGTAGAACGTTTTGCCATACGTAAAAAAAACGCACCGCTAGAAATGTTAAATGTTCCTTGCAAATAAAAAAAAACTTACTTTTGCCATGACGCGCTAACGTTGTATTGTGCATGCGCGCACAATATTTGCGCCTTAACTGTACGCGACGTACCTTAGGTTGCTTGATGGTTATCACTACAGGCTGGTCAAACTCGTTTTTGGAAAGAGGTGTGAGTGTGACTGATATGACAGGCGACAAGACGTTAAACCTGCAAAAGGATAGATAATACTCGTTATTAGTCAGGATTGAATAATAATTGATCGGTGTAAGCATTCCCAAGAAAGTTAAAAGACAAAAACATGGCGGCCATTGTGATACCGTTAACAATAGATGCTAATGAGAAATCTTTTGTTAAATAGCACCAATATGGCCGCGATGATGTAACGTGAATTCGAAGAATAGTAATAAAAACTTATATTTTGTAATCATCACTTCCCGCAAGGGACTCTTCCGTGGAGGTTCGCTCAAAACGCACTACCACTACATTCATTATTTAGAACACACAACGCTCAACCCTCGTTGCAAGGGAGAGAACAACCCCATCAAACAAACTCCAATCATGTGTGGCTTACTCAATAATCCAACCCACGATCCCAGGCTTAAACACAGCGTTGAGTGAGAGACAGCGCTGTAGCTGCTCATGCCACCCATGCCATTTCTACTCATTTCTAATCCTCATTCATGTATACTCACTCATCGTCTAGTTTAGTTTGGAGTACTTCATTGAGTGTCTTGTAAGATAMAAACGACAGATATCGCATTCCTTGAGATAAAAACAACCAGTCAGTAAAAATCAAAATCRGTTTTAACACAGTCCTTAAATAACGACATCTAGAAAGCTGGACACAGATCTACAAGTTAAGTAGCTCCCGTATTCTCCTTATTGCCAGAAATAGAGGTTTTGCACCATCAAGTGCCCACGCCCATAATCGCCATAAAATAGTTTGGACTGCCTGTGGTTAGATGGCAGAACAATAAAATCCCTAGCCTGTTCTTGGGAATTGAATTCTAATTTGTCATGTAAAACGATTCTGTTTTCCCGCCACTTATCATGGCTGCTGTCACGTGACGGTACAAAATCCCTATACGACCGAATGAATTACGATTCAAGAGCGTATATTGAGTGGAAAATAAAAATATTGCCAATAGTTTAAAGATAATCGTGTTTCTTGAAGAATAACCTTTGCTGGAGTTCTGATGTTTCAGTACTGACGCGGGCACACGGACACTTCCTTCGCGCATACCACTGCTGGGTGGTAACAGCTGGTCAGTTAAATCGCCGTCCACTGGTATTCCTCTTACAGACAACACTACAGCAAACAAACAAAAGATTCTAATCATTATGGCTTATAATTTTGTATTTACGAATGATACCCTCTTCTGTGCTACGTCTCATGATGAACATTGAATTTACTTATTACCAATGTTTTTCTTTTCTGTGTAGACATCTTTTGTGTTGTTCTTTGATAGAAGCAGCGCAATTCGATCGTTTGTTTCTATCACTTTATTGGCGAGTGTAGCTGCTGAACCCTGTTGATATCAAATAACAAAACATGGTTATACCTTGCGCGCAATACAAAGAAACCTGTCAGATACGACCAACGACCATATCTAGCTAGCGGTCGCTCAGAGAGGTTTGCTGTTACTTAACACTTTTGCAAAATCAGTAACGTCGATGCGCAGTGCAAGTCAACCTTCAGTGAGCGACCACTACAAAAAAAGCGCGGTCAGTCAGTCGGTCGGTCGGCCGAGTTCACAAAAAAAAATTGCGCAAAGGAACAAGAAAGGGGAGGAAGAAGAATATGGGTACACTGAGAAATATATAAATCTTCTTACCTCTGGTACTTGTGTCCATAATGGCAATAGTTTTTCGTCAAGGATTCCATTTGTTATATTCAGGACAGACTGCAAGAATATCGTATAAAATGCCTGTTAGTTATACGGATGTTACACAGGGTTGCGAGGTGGCAGCGCTTTAATTTTTTAAAATCCAGTCCCACAATTCTATGCGATACCAGATCGTTACCAGTCTTCCTCAAAACTTCAGAAAGATGAAAATAAGATCCTATCCTTACCATTCCATAATCATTGACTTTAGTATGATCTTCTCTACCGCTCAGTCGATCTAGTACATCCTCTCTTGACAAGATCTCTAATGTGTTGATAACGAGTTTTAAATCACTGGCATATAGAGGTCCTGATTGGTCGATGTTGATGAGCTGAGCCAGCTGTTTAGCAACAGCAACAGGGTCAGCGGTGTTTCCCTTGAGCTAAAGAATAAACAAACAGACATTGTGAAACAAAAGTCTAAAATGACTGTAGGATTTTTTATAAAGAAGAAAAGAAAAAGAAGAAAAAAAGAAAAAGAAAACTGAAGAGAAGGGAAGAGAAGGGAAGAGAAGAAAAGAGAAGAGAAAAGGACAATGGATTGAAGACAAATCATCCAACCTACCTCATCATATAAGTTGGCTATCTTTTTATTGACGCAGTGGCTAAAATCATCATCATCCCAGCTTGTCATCTGCTTCTCTTTGCTACATTTCTTCGAGATCAGTTCTATGCCGGATAGGATTGGTGAATGGTGTTCAGAAAAAGCTTATTTCCCCTTTTTTACATCATGTATGCAGTTAGATTCTGTAAATCTTCTTCAATTTGTTTTAGAAAGCTTTCTACGTGAACTTCATTGACTAAATCTGAACTAAACTGAGCAATGCGGTAGAATTGCCAACGAGGGAGACTGCTAGCAGGAAACTATATGCGGTGCCAGTAATGAAAATCTACTACTAAGGCATGTACTTAGTTGAGTGTAAAGAAATATAAAGCGAGAATTCATATTCATACTTTACAACCACCACTCCCCGTACGAGACTCTTCTGTTAGGCTCTCTCCACACTCACTACCTACCGTTACATTATATATCAACACCACACAACACTCGACTCACATGATGATTTTTAAGTTGGGATGTAGAAAGACTGTAGGAGGGTAAGAGAAGGTCTATATTCAGCAAAGTTTGTTCGGTAAAGATTAAAACTGACACAAAAATTACTACCTTGAGATGGGACCCTTGTGCATGTGAATCCATCTCCTGTGTAGCCTTGATTACACCTGCACGTGTACGATCCCTCGGTGTTGATACATTCTGCTTTGGCGTCGCACTTGTGATCATTTTCCTTACACTCATCATAATCTTGGAGAAACGATAATATCATAATGAACGCGCATTTGAAAAATTCTTCACACACGTGACTTCACGCACGTGACTTCACGCACGTGACTTCACACACCTGGTTGACAGCACATGGTGGTCAGTGTTTGACTACCATTTGGAGCAGAGAATAAGATTCAAAGACTATTATCATATTGATGTGATGGCTATACTACCGGCGAGATGCATAGATCCTGTGGTTTTTGAAGTGTGTCAGTGTTGCGTATACAGTGTACTGATGTGGTGCTTATACCCGATAGACCGGATGGTTGCGCAAAAGGGTGTGCGTCTTGTGTAGATTTTATCCCCTGTCGAAGACGTCTGTTGCGCACACTCGAGTGCTGCTTATATCAAGACACCCGATCGTTGCGTAAACCCGGTACGCGGATGCTCATACCGGTTGACCACGCAGAGGTTTCTTACCCGCGCAGTTGTTTCCTTTTATTTTATATCCTTTATTACACGTCTGACAGAAGAATGATCCTTGGTTATTGACGCACCAACCATTAGGTCCACAGTTGTGGTCGTTGTTCTTACATTCATCATAGTCTGCAACAGTAAATACCTCAGTTGTCATCAAATATCATGGAAGTCAGTGCAAGAAGGACAATGTTCTAGCCCTTCAGGGGAGGGACTAGCCGGTCTCAGACCTTACCTACAGCTAATCCCTTGAACTGATTTCAACGGTAAATATTCTCATGAGTCTGTGTGATGCATTGCCTCCATGGCTACCATGTCGCGCTAAGTTCTTAGAACCGTGACGTGGCCCATTGAAAACTTCTTGTTTGGAGAAAGTGAATTAAGCCCGGTTAAGTGGGGTTGTTATCTCTTGGGTGACCATTTTCCATTTTGTCGAACACTATCTTATCGTGTGGTATTGTTGCGTGGATAAAGCAAGTCAAACCCAGATGAGCGGGGTTGTTACCTGGACAAGTCACCATTCAGATATACATACATTTTGTCTCTGTTTTTTGGAGGAACATTTTATATTTTTAGGTATTTTTTGGGCAATACTATCAATCTCTTTTCTGATTACTATAGCTGAGTGGAATTTCTTTCTTGACTTACCAGAGGTTATGACAAACGTCCAGTCAGACAGCACTACGACTTTACCATTCCTCACAGCATGTACTTGAATAGAGTATGTCGTATACTGCTGAAGGTCATCCAACTTTGCTTGCTCATGATTGGCCATAATTTTATCACCTCTGTTRTTTGACAAAAACAGGACCGAGTAATTCACGTTTCCATAGTAACGGGACACCGAGTTCCAGGCGAGTTGAATGAAGTTCCATCCGACGGCAGTGACGTTAATTTGTAACCTTGGTGCTGATGAAAATGAAATGAAACATTGATATCATTTCGGAATATAATTGTCTATTTGACATTGTTCATACATAGGAGTATAGAATGAAGACGGTGGACATATTGAAGGTTTGCAGGTGCGGTATTTGAATAAGTTTGGCACAAAAACAAAAGGCTTAAAGACCGAAGAAAAAAACAAAACAAAACAAAACAAAAATAAAAAAACAAGCGCCGGAAAATACAAACTGCCTAACAAGCAGACAAAAAAGCAATTAGGGACGGACCATTAGATAGTTGACGGGGAATTGCGTAAATCCCAAAAAAATATCGAGCAACCTCTTCTGCTAGAAGAAAAATATCTTACTGTACGCAAAAAATAACGTGCAACCTCTTCTGCTAGAAGAAAAATATCTAACTGTACGCAAAAAATAACGTGCAACCTCCTCTGCTAGAAGAAAAATATCTTACTG